GAGCTATGTGCCGAGGCGCACGAACTACCGATCGCTTGATCCTGTTGAGGTACGTAGGCACAGTCTAAGAGAGGCTCGTAGAAGTATGCCACACATAAAAGTATAAGCAACAACAAACTTGGCAAAATTATTTACGTCCAAGTAGGTACACTGAAATATCCATTGATTTATTGTTAATGTAGCCATATCGAAATAAAAGGTCAACTTAGAGAGTATAAGCGATTCAAGAATTGAATTAACGAAGCAATTAGAGTTTGACCTTTGAGTCAAGCCGTATCCGATCTGTCTCGAGATGCTCAAATGTCTGGGATCGCGGCGTGACCGAAGGTAGTCTGGTATTGTGTGCCCCGGCCCCCATCCCCGCAGTTCTCTGTATCTGCTAAAATCGCCATTATCGACGATACCAGGAAAGACAGATTGAAGCTTTGGTCGAAGCTCTCAAAAGCACGAAGACATAAACATAAGAAATGTGATATCCACACATTTTTTTTTATTTTTCACACATCTCTTATTAATTTCTATCATTTGATCTTATTCAATTCATTCGATTTGACAACCGAAAATTAAGAACGTATGTGAGAAGTAAAAAAAAATATGTGGATAGCACACCCCAAACTTGGAATAGGATCCTCTTTGGATCTTCTTTAAGGGGATTTGAATGATCAATCAATCGTGTCCATTCATTATACTTTGTATGATTATAAATAGTACTTAACGTAAACTGATCACACGATATACGATAAATAAACACGATTGATTGATTTTTAAATCCCCACAAAGAGAATCTGAATCCTTGTCCCCCAAACTTAAACTCAACTTAGTTGTCAACTCATGTGAGCCCATTAACCCTCTCTTCCCTACGCTACTGATGTCAGTCATCCGCCACTTGCTTATTTGTTGTCATTCTGAATTATGATTGTAAACTATGTTTATTAGCACCTTAATCTAATTGTTGATTGAAAAAGTTTATTGGCCACTTGCTAACATAGTCCTTAGGCCATCTCCAACCGAAGGGTCCAGAAGGCCAGAGAGCCGAAAATAGCCCTAAAACCGTCTCCAACCGAGGGCTAGGCCAGAGGGCTCGGGAATCTGGAAGGGCCCCACGGGATCGGAGAGGGCTGGAGGGCTGGAGGGCTGGCTGCTTTCGGCCAGCCAGCCAGCCTCGGGCTGGCTATTTTTTTTTTAATGTTTCTCAATATATATTATTTCTGTCGGTTACAACCGACAGAAATAACAATTTGAATTCAAACTTCCAACGGCTAGCGCCACTAGCCGTTGTAAATCCTTTTTTTTTTTTTTTATGAATTTAAACCTTTTTTTTTCTTTTTTTTTCTATAACTTCCTATAACTTCTATTTTACAAAATTTGTTTCAATTTTTTTTTTAATTCTATTTTTTTTCCTATAACTTATATTTTACAAAATTTGGTTCATATTTTTTTCATATAACTTCTATTTTACAAAATTTGTTTCATATTTTTTTTTAAATTCCATTTTTCCTATAAACTTCTATTTCACAAAATTTGTTTCATATTTTTTTTAAATTCTATTTTTTTCCTATAACTTCCTAAGCCATTATACAACATTAAATTAAATTAAGTAACATGAAACAACATTAAACAATATGAAACAACATTAAATAACATTAACCGACATAAAAATTATATAACACTAACCAACATGATTTTTAAATAAAATTAAGTTGTAGTTTTTAAATAATAAATTATGTTTGGCCCTATGGCCCTTTGGCCCTCGGTTGGAGACGGAGGCAAATATGGTCATGTACTGTTCATTAAAATATTAATATCTTGAAGAATCTTGGAGGGCCAGAGGGCTAAAACGAGCCCTCTGGCTAGCCATCGGTTGGAGATGGCCTTAGTTCACTTGCTGGCGTAGGTCTTTGTTCAGGCCCTTAATTTAAAGGGATTCCAATTTTTTGATAGGTGATAAGGGAGATTAAATTTAGAGATAAAATTTTAAAAAATAAAGAAAATAGAAGTTGATAATTGGTTTATTACTTAAATGTATGTATTCATTATTATTTGTGACACATCATTTAGTTTGAAAATTTTGTTTTTAAATTTAGTCTTCCTAGCATTTTTTTTTTTGGATAGAAATGGGGACTAGTTGTCACATCCTAGCCCGGGCCTCCACCACATCCCGGGCTCGACTCTGCCGTAGCACGATATTATCCGTTTTGGGCCCCGACCACGCCTTCACGATTTTGTTTCTAGGAACTCACGAAAACTTCCTAGTGGGTCACCCATCATGAGATTGCTCTCCAGCGAACTCGCTTAACTTCGGAGTTCCGATGGAACCCGAAGCTAATGAGCTCCCAAAAGGCCTCATGCTAGGTAGAGATGGGAATATACATATAAGGCTTACATGATCCACACCCCTGGGCGATGTGAGATGTTACACTAATTGTGTGGCTCACTCCATATCGAACTTCAACATTCAACCATCTATCTAATTGTTTTTTTGTAAAGATGGTCAATGAATGAAGACTTATAAAATAGGCATAGTTCAAATCGTTAAAGTTCAAAGTAAAATGAGCCCTACAAATAGTCTAATTTTTTTATAAAAAAAAATATAAATCACATTGGATAAAGACTTTGGGTCTTTGTTTATGGTTATTAGTTGCTTGGTGACGAGCGATTTTTTAGTATGTTCGGAACACAGGCGCAAACGCCGTATATTATTAAACAAGTAAAGGGACATTTGAAATTAGAAAATACATAAGAAAAATGAGTTATGAATAAAGGTGGCTGGAAGGAAGGGACAAAGAAGATTGAAAATTAATCTAAACGGGTTTCAATTATTTTTATAGAATAGATACTAGTTGTGGGGTTCAGTCCACATCAAATTTCAACATTCAAACCATCTATTTTTCAAATTGCATTTTATAGATCATCCTTACAAAATATTAGTCAAATCAAAAATATTTTAGGTATCTAATTGATTTTTTGTTAGAATGATCTATAAATGAAGACTTAAAAAATAGACATGGTTCGAATCGTTACAATTCGAAGTAGAGTGAGCCCCATAATTAGTACAAATTTTTATAAATAAAAAAAATCGCTTTGGATAAAGGCTCTGGGTCTTTGTGTATGGTTATTAGTCGCTTGCTGACTAGAGATTTTTTAGTGTGTTAGGAACATGAGCACAAACGCCTGTTATTAAACAAGCGGAGGGACACTTGAAATAAAAATCTTCTCTCTACTTGTATAATGACAAATGATATACCACCTCATATTTCAGGCACACTGAAAAATATATCCTGGATGTGATAGGTGATAGATCTTTGTTTATGTTTATTAGCCACAAGGTGAGATAGGTGAAAGTTCTTTGTTTATGCTTGTCAGCCATTTGCTGGCATAGGTCTTAGTTTATTAGCAATCTTAATTGTTGATTGAAAATGTTAACATGATTGTAAACTATCTAATTTGTTTTATATGTTGTAGTTTTTATATATTTTTTTTGCTTTTGAAATTAAAAAAAATACATAAGAAAAATGAGTTATGAAAAGAGGTGGGGGAAAAGAAGGGACAAAGAAGTTTGAAAATTAATCCAATAATTTGTAAAAGTCAAACCATCTTTGCAATAAAGAAAGCTTAATTTAGTACAATTTGGTAAATTGAGAGAGCTTAAAACAAGGGAGAGAGAGAGATAGAAACAGAGATATCTGGCAAGACGGAAAAAGTCCACAAAAGTGACAAAATCAAGAAACGATTATACAAAGTCGACAACATCTTTGTTCAATGATGCATCCAAATGATGTAATCAAGAAACAACAATACAGGAGTTAAGAAATATTAAAGAGTGAAAAACGAACTGTTTAAATTATATTTTAAATGAACACTTTATTTCTGTTGGTTCGTACTAATATTAAGGGCGATTCTAAGATAACTTTTTAGTCGTTTTATTTCAATTTTGACTAAAAAATAGAAAGCAAGACTGAAACACGCTTCAAGCACGTTCCTATTGATCGCCTGCATCCCTTTGGGCCTATTAAGGTTGGAAATGAACCAGCAATGACAAATTCAATTTAAGGATTAAAGAGTTAGTATTTCAAAGGTAATGGTAGGAAGATTAAATTTGTAGACAAAATTTTAGAAACTAAATAACATGAAAGTTGATGATTGATTTATTACTTAAACGTTGATAAACGCTCGTTACTATTGGTGACACATAATTTAGTTTGTAAATTTTGTCTCTCTAACTTTACCCTTTTTCAAAATTTCCTTAAATTTAAAATATTTAAAACAACGTCGTTTTAAGAAAATTCGGTTCGATTTCCAGATCTGTGTTGGCTTTTGAATTTGTAGGATGCCTCGGTAACGGGATGCCTGTCATCCGCGGCTTGCTCACTTGTTGGGATTGAAAACTATGTTTATTAGCAACCTTAATTGTTGCTTAAAATTGTTTATTAGCCACTTGCTCACGTAGGTCTTAGCTTGCTGGCTGACTAGGTCTTAGCTTATTAGCCACTTGTTGACGGAACTGGATCCTCTCCGAGGCAAACCCTCGGGATCCTGCTGAGCGACAAACAAGGGCCGTTGAATTTAGATCTAACAGCTACAAACATGGGACTCATCTTAAAGTTATAATAATTGTAGCCGTTGGATCTAAATCCAATGGTCAATGTTTGTCGCTCAGCAGGATCCCGAGGGTTTGCCTCGGAGGGGATCCAGTTCCCCTGTTGACATATAGGTCTTTGTTTATTAGCCACTTGTTTATGTTCATTAGCTTGCTGACATGGGCGATAAGTGTTTGTTTATGTTTATTAGCCACTTGCTGATATAGGTCTTAGTTTATTAGCAACCTTAATTGTTGCTTGAAAATGTTAACATGATTGAACTATGTAATTTGTTTTATTTTTATTTTTTACAGGTCTTAGTTTATTAGTACAACTTGGTAAATTTCTTTCAAGTCAATTTTAGAGAACGTGGACTACTGCATCTATATATCTACTTAAAATTGACATTTGAGTTATAGAAATTTGAGACCTCAAATTTGGTTTTCCAATTGGATTTGCTACTTTGTCTGCAAAATTCTAAAGTTCTAGCTCCAAGATTCAGTTTCTATTTTCTGCCGAAAAAAGAAAAGTAAGTTTGAGTAATTCTTTTTTTTGTTTTTTTTCTTTTTTATCAAAATGTGTGTCAGCAGGAGTTCTATGATTGTTTTTTTGGTGCAACCGGAATGCCGAAACACTTATGACAATCAGATTTGATGAACGATCAACAAATTTCAATCGCTAGACCAAATCCGAGGCATAAGTGCTCCGACACAGTGTCTTGAGAAATTTCAGTTGTTTTGAGGACAACTACTAATTATATTTGTTGTGTTTGTCCAGTAATTCTATTTCAAATCCAAAAGCCATGCCGCCTGAAGATAAATTAAGTTGCATCTGGAGAAAAAATCATACTGAAGTGTCTTTCTATCGAAAGTACTGGTGGAATAATATATTCATTGCATCGTGCTTGTGTTCCCTTTTTGTGGATCCATTATTCCTCTACGTTCCTATTCTTAAGGATGATTTCAAGTGCCTTATGTTAGACCCAAAGTTGAAGATAATCGTTCTTCTTTTAAGATCACTCACAGATTTTTTCTATTTAATGGACATTATTATTCGAATTTATAGATCTGATTCGGGTTCAATCGTGAACCGCGGACAACACCGGATGGATTTTAGTTTTGTACTGAAATCTTGTGTCCCAAGAATAGTCAAGACAATATGGGCGTCAAATGATATCATAATTGACATTGTAGCTCTTCTTCCTTTTCCACAGGTAAGAAATTAATTCCCTTTGTTGGAGTAATTGTTTTTCTTATTTGCTTAGTGTGCGGGCCAAAGCGAATATTTTCGTGTTAAATACACAAAACTGACACACTATGTAATAACATTTGGATGTCACATATATTTTTCTAGAGAAATTGTTAATTTTGTGTTTTAGACAACGTTGTTATTGATCTATCGATTTTCACTGTTGGTACCCAGGTGGCAGTTTTTATTTTCTTCTCAAAAATGTGTGACTTGAGATCTTTGACTCCAATAAGGATGGTTCTTACGAACGTTTTTGCTGTGTTGCAATATGTGCCACGAGTTCTTCGCATCTACCTCTCATCTAATGAACTTAAAAAGAATCTTGAAAAAGATGTTACAAAGACTCCCATATGGATTAAAGGTGTACTCAATTTCTGTATGTACACTATTGCTAGTCATGTAAGTTTCAATTTATATCCTTATTTATTTTTGTTTGTCAAATCAATTCTTATTATCCTTGTCTTAATTATTAGAAGGAGCATGAAATGACCATTTTGAAATAACAATAACATCTAAAATATTAATGATGTTGTATATTTCCTCCACTTTTACTGTTTGTTTGTTGATTTTTCAGGTAATCGGAGCTTTGTGGTATTTTTTTGCTATTCAACGAATGATGATTTGTTGGCATTTTGCATGTCGAAAAGATGATGGATGTGATAACAGAATTTTTGGTTGTCATGATCACCATGCATTTAGAAATACCACAATTCTAAATGATTTATGTCCTGTCAATGTCAGTGTCAATTCATCAGACACAATGCTCTTCGATTTTGGTATATTTGCTACTGTGCTTCAATATGGTATTGTAGGATCAACCAATTATTTCAAAAAGCTCTTGAACTGTTTCTGGTGGGGTTTACGAAATTTAAGGTTTGTACATTTTTATATTTGTTTGTTAGGAAATTTAGGTTTAATGCTCTTTTTAAGATCTTTGATTTATTTGCTATTTACATTCATTTTTCCTGTTGAAAGTATGAATCTCTCATTGAAAGATTAAAGCATTACTTCTACGAAATAGAGTCGAGCATAAGGACTCGGAGAAATAAAAAATCAAGTTGAGACTAAAATATTATCTTGGTTAAATTTTAGGAAGAATGAACCATAGAACCAAATAAGCCCTTTGAAAAATGGTTGTAAATTTGTGAGTTTATAACTTGAAACTGGTTATCACATATATTGATCCATTAATTTGATTTTCGCAGTTCCCTTGGTTCAAATCTTCAGCCCAGTGCAGATGGATGGGAGAACCTGTATACGATTTTTATTTCTATAACTGGCTTGCTCCTGTTTTTATATCTGATTGGAAATTTGCAGGTTTGTTTATAAAACTTTTCTTACACTTATCATTTAGTGCTAGTTAATCACTCCAACTAACATAAACTTGATCAGTGAAGATTTTCATATCCATTAAATTCACTCTAATTAACCTTATATGTTAAGTATTCTTGAATACTTATATGTCAAGAATGATTTTTTTTCCTGACTAAATTTGAACGCCATTTATAAGAAATTTTTACATGTAACAGAAAAACTTGTCACATAACGTATTATTCTACGTGTTATCATAAGTAGATGACATAGATGATATTCCCATTTTAGGATATAAATAAAAAAACAAATTTGCGTGTCACCATGTGACCGTTTTCTAGTTCTAGCTACATAGAAATTTTTGGTCATGTATGTTAGATTTTAATTGTGGTCCTTTGATTAGGTGCATTATTATGCAATTTAGTGTATAGGTATAATAAGATACCTACATATGTTCATGATATTGTATTCCATCAAAATAATAGATTCAAAAGCAGCTAGCTTTTTCAAACCTCTTGTAACTCAAGAAAATGGACAAACCAACTCACTCGAATTATTTTTGAGCTCAGATCTTCTGCACCCAAATTTGTCTATAGCTTTTCAGCGACTTAATCAGCTTTTGACACGTTTCCACAACTAATTCAATTTCAAACGGCGTAAACTTTGCGGGAAAAATATATAGAAAAGGACGAAGAACCCGGAATCCTCAATCTCCCACCCACAGATGTGATTGATGCGCTGGGCGACGTTCTTTTGTTCGAGCGGCGCCGGGCCCAAACGGATCGACTCGGCATCGGCTGGAGACGCCGCAACGCGGTCCCGACGCAAGATGGTGGGGGCGGAGGTTGGACCAGGATGTTCTATTATACGCCGCATCACGGATCGTCTTATCATGCGCACCAGTACCATCATAGTTTGGCGCCATACCACCTGACTGTCTACGTGCAGCAGGTATCCTCTTAATTTTTTTTTGCTCTCACCCAGATGTGGTTGATGCACTGGGTGTTGGGGTTACCCTGCACTTGCAAGTGCAAGACGGATCGATCGAAGGGAGACGTCAAGTTAATTGTCGGAGGACTGTCGATTCAGGCCGTGGACGTCGTAGCCTTTATCGGGGGACCTTGTGTTGCTCCAGAGGATCAGTGGCGCAGCCGTTGGGGGGTTTGTGGATTCTGATCTGGCGGTGTCTGTTGCTACCGTGGAGTGGGTGTGGCGGAATCAGGGTTCTCGAAGGAGACGACGGGATTTTTTCCCACACCATTCTTCTTCTAATGGGCGTCTCTGATTCTTTTACGGTTTTTTTCCTTCGAAGCCGTTTATTATCATTCAACTGAGTTGAGTTCAATTGGATTAATAGTATTTCAACCTACCCAATTCATTTATAGAACAGGTGGTCGATTTTGTACCCAAAAATAAGTGTTTAATGTTTCGAACCCAACCCATATCATTTGAGTTTGTCGGTTTAGTCGGTAGACCCACCAAATGGCCACCCCAACTTGCTAGTATTTATGTCTTTTTCTTATTTATTTGTCCTTTTTTGGTTACAATAGTAGTATTTCCTTTTCTTTTCTTTTTTCTCTTTTTTTTTTTTTTTTTTTTTGTAATATAGAAAAAAAGATTAAACTCAAAATCAAATATAATGATGACATTCAGCTTCATTTGAAAAAAAAAAAAAAAAAATCTTATCCAAATGTTGATAATCTAATTCTTATCGATCTCTTACTTGTTGAATAGACATATATGCAACTTGAGTCTACAAGAACAGAGAATCACATGCAATTGAGACAGAAGATGAAAGGAAAAGATGACGAAATAGAATTGTGGTTATTCAAAAAGGGCATTCCCACCAGGTTGATTAAGGATTTCAAGTTGCAGATTTTGGAAAAGGTAAAACAAGCAGCTCAAGAGGATACGGATACTAATTTGGATAATATTCTCCCTCTTCTTCCTTCGGAAGTTCAAAGCCACATAAAAGAGCCTTTTGACAAGTTGAAGCAAGTAATTACTCACCTTGATAATCATATAAAAGGAGGATTGTATCTCTTTATCTTTTTAATAAGAATTTAATTAAGTCTTCCTATGGGTTTTCTTGCTTTCTCTCTGATAGTTTACCAACATGAATTCCAGGTGCCAATGCTTCGAGAGATAGATGAAGATGTGTTGAAAATAATCTGTCAGGAACTCGAGCCCGTGAGGTATACTGAGAACGACGATATTATTCAAAAGGATAAACCACTTGCCAAGATTCTCTTCATTGTAGACGGAGATGTATCCATTGAAGAGGGATCTTCTGATGATTCAAAACGAGGTGCAGGACAATTATGTGGAGAAGAACTTCTACGTTGGCCATTCTACTCTTACTTCCCTGACAAAACACCGTTGGCAACTAAATCTGTCAAGGCAATTGGTGTTGTTGAAGCCCTTGCTCTCAACGCACAGGACTTGCAAAGTGTAAGCTCTTAATCAAATGCACATTTCCCATATTACAATTGAGCATCCATAGTAAAATTAATTGGGATAAGAGAGAGATCCAAGAAGTACCTTTACTTAAACTGTCGGATAAGACTTTCATGTTTTCAATGCAACCCTTCACGTGCAGGGCCATGTAAGCCTAATGTGTGGAGTGAACAACAAATATTGAGTGACACAAAGCACGTAGATAGCCTCATCTAACACCATATTAAAATTGAGCATCCATCTTAGTTAAAACCATTGGCAATAGAAGGGAGAGGGTCCAAAATTATTTAAATTATTAGGCAAAATTTTAGTTACTCTGACAACTTCAGTAAGCCTATAAGCTATAAGAAACTCTAACAACCTCAATTTGATTGTAATTTAGCTAAATTTTCGTTTACTTGAACTAATGAACTCTAACAACCTTTTTGTTGTTGTGGATTAATAGAAATATGATCAATCAGACATTGCAATAAAAGAGACGTCTAGACAAAGAGGAATGATGAAAAAGGAGATGGAAACAAATATAGATGGGTTGATACATAGAAAAGAAATTCCTGAATGGTTTAATCAAAGTGTAAAGTCACGGATCATGGAAAAAATAGAAGAACAAGTTCAAAATAATGCTCTTTATTGGGATAAGCTTGATTGGGATTGGGATCATCTCGTTTCTCATCTTCCCCTGGATTTTCAAAACGAGATCAAAAGGTGTATGGCATTGACTAAGTTGAAGAAGGTAAAGTTTCTTCAAATCCATGAATCCACGGCTTTTATTTTGAACAGAGAATTTGAGGCATTTATTTATTTATAGCTCTCTTCCCAATATTTCATGCATGCGCATGTGATATTACAACTCCCATGCATTTAAATACAGCATAACTAACGTATACTATACCAACCCCAACCTAGGGCCTAGGCTACATAACAATCTAGTCCCTGCCCATGATAAGGTGGAGCGTAAGTACATGAGACAGAAAAAAAAACAAACAAAAGAAAAAATTAAGATGTCAAATAGAAGAATTCGCCTGCCAATAAAGACTATCAACTTAGAACTTTCTAACCCTACCCTTTCACACCAATAAATTTTAAAAGGAAAACCATCCATTTGGATACTTTTGTATATTACTTGAAGCATGTGAACATTCATAGTTATAAGGGTTTTTATTACAAATGGTCCTTAAAATTGACCCACCCAATCAAGATGATCCTTGAAATTGGATGTCGCAAATCAATGTAGTCCTTGAAATTGAACTTTCTAACCCCTACCCTTCCGTCACAACTTTGTTAAAAATTATGTTATGTGCTGATGTGGCACATAATTGGGTTCCATAATATAATAAAATATTGTCAGGTAGATAAAAAATATTTAAATAATAATTAAAAAACCTATGCTATAAAAATGGTAATTAACTAAAATCAGGAAAAAAAATGCTATAAAAAAGTGAGTGGTAGAAATAGAAAAACGTGATACTTATAGGGTTGCAATAATGTCACTGATAGCAAAAGGATTATCTTTTGGATAATCTTTGGATACTGAACAGTCGGCATCGAAAATTTACTGACCTCTAATAAAACAAAGACACCTGTCCATTTTCAAGTCTCCATTCACACAACCAAACACCCTGGTTTTGTATACCAAACATCCTTCTTCTACCTTTCTCTGCCCACAGTCCCCTTCAGAAATGCAAAAACATTACAAATTCTTTCACGAAAGCTATTATCCACTCTCTGGATTGATGACGATAGGTCGCAATCATCGTCGTCGGCCATAACGGAGGATGACAATCACATTCGTTGTAGAAGAAATGGATGGGGTGGGTGGCAGAAAAGAGGGATTGGGGTCATCGGAGAAGAGAGGGTTTGCAACTAGGGATGGGCAAATACCCATCGATTATGGGTAACCGCGGTTACCCGCTCATTTAAATTTCACGGTTACGATTATGGGTAACCGTTTAGATAAATAAACGGTTATGGGTATAACCATTTACCCGCGAAATTTAAATGGGCGGTTATGAGTATTAACCGCGATTATAAACGGGTAACCATTTACTCATTTATTTTATATATGTAAAATTAACACAAATTATGTTCCCTATCAGACAAAACTTAGATCAATGCTATTGACTATAGTGCATGATTTCTATAGCTAATATAATATAACTTTCCTTAACCACTTTAAATTTCATGGTCGATTATATATATTATGTTAATATTTTACATTCCGAGTTAAATAACCCAAGAATATTGTCTTTTAACAGTTTTCGTAACCCAAGAATACTTAGCAAATTTTATATTACCTTCATTGCTAACAGTTAAAAATATCGTCTGTAAAATATTATTTCAATTGTTGGAATGGTATAAGTAAGGACTTAAAAAATTAAAATACCGAAATATATGATGAATGTACCTATAACAGTGTTTAATTGTTAGAAAAAGAAAATTATGACAAATTTTCCTTTTTTAATTTTCAAGTTGTTAAAAAAACACGTAGATGGGTGAAAAAGGAGTAAATGGTAAAAAAGATAGGATAAACGGGTTTAAAAATGATAAATGGGTAAACGGATACTAAACGGTTACGGTTAAGTGGATACACGATTATGGGTATGGTTAACCGTTTATAAACGGTTATATGTATGGGTATAACCGTTTAGACAATTACCCAACGGGTAAATAGTTATGTGGGTATGAGAATAAACGGTTATGGATAAATAATCGCAATTATCCGTTTGCCATAACCGTTGTCCATCCCTAATTGCGACTTGTGAGTGGGTTGCCGGAGAATAGAGCGAATTCAGTGTTCGATGAGGGTTTGGTTGTGTGTTTAGAGACTAGAAAATGGACAGTTGTCTTTATTGTATTGGACTACTAGAGGTCAGTAAATTTTGATATTGAACACGCCGTACCCAAGTATTATTAAGAATTTAAGTCATTGTTGAGGATTGTATCTCTTTTATCTTTTTAATGAGAATTTCTTCCTATGAATTCCAGGTGCCAATGCTTCGACGGATAGATGAAGATGTGTTGAAAATAATCTGTCAGAAACTCGAGCCTGTGAGGTATACTGATAACAACTTGATTATTCAAAAGGGTGAACAACTGGACAAGATGGTCTACATTGAAGACGGATTTGTATCCATTGAAGAGAGATCTTCTAATAATTTGAGACTAGGTGCAGGGGAATTCTGTGGACAAGAACTTCTACGTTGGCCTTTCTCCACTGACTTCCCTAACAGAAAACCGTTGGCAACTGAATCTGTCAAGGCAATTGGTGTTGTTGAAGCCCTTGCTCTCAACGCACAGGACTTGCTAAGTGTAAGCTCTTAATCAAATGCACATTTCCCTTATTACAATTGAGCATCCATAGTAAAATTAATTGGGATAAGAGAGAGATCAAAGAATTACCAGTATTTAAACTATCAAACAAGACTTTCATGCTTTCAACCAAATCCTTCACGTGCGGGGTCATTTAAGCCTATTGCGTGGAGTAAACAAAACATATTGAGTGATGCATAGCACGTATATAGTCTCTCCTAATACCATATTAAAATTGAGCATCAATCTTAGCTAAAACCATTGGGAATAGGAGGGTGAGGGTCCAAAATTATTTAAATTATTAGGCAAAATTTTATTTCCCTAATATGAGATTCATACAGTCTGACAACTTCAATAAGCCTATAAGAAACTCTTAACAACCTCAATTTGATTGTAATTTGGCTATATATTCTTTTACTGTAAGTAACGATCTCTAACGACCTTTTTGTTGTTGTGGATTAATAGATGTATCTTGAGTCAAACATTAAAGGAAAAGAGGAGCCTAGACACAGAAGAATGATGAAAGAGGAGATTGAGCGAAATATAGATGGATTGATACGTAGAAATGGGATTCCTGAAAGGTTAAATCATAATGTAAAGTCACGGATCATGGAAAATGTAGAAGAAAATTTTCAACAATATGATCATTATTGGGATTTGCTCGATTGGGATCACCTCGTTCCTGGTCTTCCCTTGGATTTTCAAAAAGAGATCATAAGTTACATGCCATTGACAAAGTTGAAGCAGGTAAGGTTTCTTCAAATCCATGAATCCATGGCTTTAATTTTGAACATAGAGTTTGAGGCATTTATTTATTTATAGCTCTCATCCCAATATCCCATGCATGCGCATGTGATATTATAGCTCCCGGGCATTTAAATACAGCATAACGAACATATACTATACCAATCCCAACCTAGGGCCTAGGCTACATAACAATCTAGCTCTTGCCCATGATAAGGTGGAGCATAAGTACATGAGACAGAAAAAAACAAACAAAAGAAAAAAAAAGCTGTCAAATAGAAGAGTTCGCGGGCCAGTAAAGACCATCCACTTGGTACTTTCTAATCCTTGTCTTTCACACCAATAAATTTTGGAATGTGCTATCTACACATCTTATTTTACTTCTCACACACTCTTTGATAATTTATGTCCATTGATCTTCTTCAATTCATCCAATCCGACGGCCGAAAATTAAAAAGGGGTGTGAAGTAAAATGGGGTTTGTGGATATTACATCCCTAAATTTTAAAAGGAAAACCATCCACTTGGATACTTTTTTATATTACTTGAAGCATGTGAACATTTGTAGTTATAATCATCCGAATAACCCAACAATGGTAATTAACTAAAACCAGAAAGAAAAGAAAAATTAAAAATATGCTATAAAAAAGTGAGTGGTAGAAACAGAAAAACGTGATACTTATGGGGTTGCAATAATGTCATTGATAGCAAAAAAATAAAATAAAAGAGTCATTAATGACGTTTTTATTGTCACAATTCATTTAAGAAAAATACTATGAGGTGATTTAAAAAAACAATCATTAACCGTCGTATTTTATGATCTACAAAGTATAATTTAAATAGATCTAAAGCCACAATACATCATTGCAACCGAGCAACAATCACCTTTCACATTTACATGGCCACCTTTTCTTGTAGTGAGCAAACACAAGAACGGTCCCAGGGCTGCAGATTTTAATTATATTTTAATAAAAACGTTGGAGATTAATGATGGATGGAAAGTTTTTAAAATTCATGAGTTAGTTATAGCTATATAATTATGTATTAGATTTTTTTAATATGTCAATTAAGTTACTTACATGTTATAAAATGTAGATGCCAGCATTCCAGTACATGAATGATGAAGTGATGAAAGAAATTTGTAGCCATCTTCGGCCCATGAAGTATAATCGTACCGATAACATTATTGATAAGGGTAACCCAATTCAAATGTTGTTGATTGTGGAAGGAAGCATAGGCCAAGAAGGTTGGGTAAAAGATGCAGGAGAAATCTATGGAGAAGAACTTCTGGTTTGGCCATTCTCGACCTCTTTCCCTAACAAAGTACCTACAGCAGCTGAGTCTCCTTTTGTAAGTACGGATGTTGTTGAAGCCCTTGTTCTGACGGCCAGTGACATGGAGAGTGTAGCCACTAAATTCCGGAAACATTTCATAAAAAATTACGGCAAATTCGTACGCATGGAGAGTGCATTCCCTTACGACTATTCTGAAGGGGATATTAAGAAGGCCACAACAAACTACACGTGTTTGAACAATCCAAATGAAGGAGGCTATGGAACAGTCTACCACCCAGAATTAAATGGAAGATCTGTTGCCATAAAAACGTGCAACAGTACTACTGGTGACCCGTTCATCCAGAGTCAACGTCTGGTTCATGAGGCATTTGTTCTTTCTCAAATCGATCACGAAAATGTGGAGAAGCTGTTAGGTTGTTGTTTAGAGACAACATGGCCTATAATGGTTTATGACCGCACCAATGCTTTGACTTTTGTTGAGCACTTTCACAGAAACAAATCAAAACTCTCGTTGGAATCACGAATGACGATAGCAGCGGAAACTGCAGGAGCTCTAGCACACATGCACTCCAGCTCAGTCATACACCGAGATGTGAAGACAGCGAATATATTAATAGATCATACAACTCACACTGTACAAGTTACCGGTTTTGGAGCTTCACGATTGCTTGATGAAGATGAAGGTGAAATGGAAGATCGAGTGTCAACTTTGCCAAGGACATTGGGATACTTAGACCCCGAGTATCTTGAATCACACATGCTAACAAAGAAGAGCGACGTCTATAGCTTCGGAGTTGTTCTAGTGGAGCTACTAACACGTCAAGAGTCAGTTTCTTCTAACGGGTCTGAAACATCCCTAGCAAACGACTTTGTTCGTTCAGTGCATGAGGATCGCTTGGGCCAAATTCTCGATGGTGAAATAAACACAGACAAGTTTAGTTATGAGATGGCCAAAAAAGTGAGCGAGCTTGCCGTGACATGTTTGAGGTCAAGGGGAGAGGAAAGGCCTTCCATGGAAAAAGTAGCTGAGGAGCTTGAGGGAGTAGTGCAAGCTATTATGAACAGGGTAGAGCATTCTACGGTGGACGATAATATATCTTCCGCTTCTAGAACTTCCGAGTGAAGTATTGATGTGAACCCGTGCGGCTGGTTTCAGTTTGAGTCTGTGCTTGTGAAATAATTGACAAGTAAGATGCATTTGGTAGTTTGAGTAAACCGTGGAATTTGGAATTAGTATCAAATATTGTAACCTTATATATTTTTGCCCCTTTCATTTATCTTTGCACTTCTCTTGGCTCAAACCTGGAATTATCTATTGGCCCCCACAGAAATCCATAACTCTAAAAAGAGATGGCCGAAATTCAGAACTAGAGAACCATAAATAGAATCCACTAGAAATTGTGTCTCGTTGTTGTAGGATTGAAAATGAGATGCAACAAACGTAACTTCATTTCAATAGCAAAAAAGAAAACTGACATTTGGTTCAAAAATATTAGAGGAAGTATAGGTCGTAATGTGTGACATGCAAAGGTGCTACTAATTCAAATTTCCAACATGCTCAGCAAATTTCTAACTTTTCAGAAGTAATTAAATTGAAACTAATAGATGTTTCTTCTGCATACTGATTATTGAAGATTCGTTGAGAAGAATGAATCCGTAACTTACTTAGGTTTCAAAGTGGACTACACCATCCATTAATCTAAACAGAACTGTCTCAGCAAAGCAAACAATTTAATCTCATTCCTCTAGAAATGGCATGTTTTATTACTTCACAAAGCTAATTTCTTCCGAAAGATTCAAAGCAAGTTGTTTTTAACATTAAAATACCACAACATGATTAACACATTAAACAAACAGTTTCTCCAATTACTAAACAGTTTTATTAATATAGATTATTTTCTTGTACAGAATTGATGTATCAAAGCAAGTGGTAATTATCAAAATGAATATGTTAACATACTCTTATAAGCATAATCCAATAACCTAAATATAGTGTTTTAATCGATATCAACAATAAAAAACAACGCAATTGTAAACATAAATTTAGGTGCTTTAATGGTTAAAAACCATGTAAACCGCCTAGACATGAAAAAATAAAAAATATATGAAAATTAAGGACGGACTTGAGCTCGGAGTTCACATAGAACTTTTAAGAGTAGCAAATGCTCTATTGGATTGGGTTCCTTGTAATGAGATATCTCCTCTGCACAAACAACACAATGGCAAAAATGTTAGTCTATTTAAAAAATGAAAACAAATTAAATACAGTAAACGATGCTAAGATGAATAAAACTGAAACCCCAGACAACAAATTAATAGCTGGGAAGAAAGGGGAAAAAAACACACATGAATAAAATTTCTAATTTTCGACCACCCCTAATTTATCATTAAGCTAAGTAAATACACGACAAGCTCAACACAATCATAACAATAAGAATTTTCAAATAGTTAAATAAATATCAACTACCCTACACAGGAATTGAACATTATTATCACTACCATGTATTCAGTTTCATTTCAAGCTACTATCTAATAAAACCTTTCAGTCAAGGTTTCTGTAAATTAATTTCAATTTGAATAACAAAACTATTTTTAGTAAATTTCTTTACATCTTATTACAAATTATTACATCTACTCGGATTTTTATACACTGAAGATAAAGTTAAAGTCCTTACGTCACAATCTGAATTGAGATCTAGCTCATTGAATCACTATTCAATGCAAGGAGAGGTTACACCGCTCTTGTGGTCCTCCCTTCAGGGGATTGATCGTGCCTCCTCCCATTGAATACTGGTGGTGAAGCCCTACAACGCTTAAGGCTTTGGCTGTTATGAGGACTCCTCAATCTTCTCTCCAAACTCCTTTCTCTCCTCACGGGTGATCGGGAACAATTGCACATTAGAAAAAAATAATCGAGTTTCAGCAAAATACCCAGACAAATGATATGCATACATAGAAATTCGATGTGAAGAACAAAGTGTCAGCTGTCGACTACCTGACACTCTCCCCCTCCTCCTTTTTCCAGCCTTGGGACCAGCAGCGTACAGTTTCATATGAATCCATAACTTGTACCTGTGTCTGATCGCGTAAATAATCTCCGATGATATTACCTCTCTCAAGTCTTTGGTGGTATTACAAAACCAATATCATCATCTATGGCAGTCTGTTGTAGTCAAAGTGTCGCAGTAGTTTCTTAGCCACGCAGAAGCAGATTTGAGGATATGATGTTCACCATTGAGGAGATCCTGAGCCATTTGCCTCCGGATAAAAAGTCTTTCACATGTAACTGGAGAGCTTACGGGTCCCAAAGACTATGCACGCACTCAAGAAGCACAAAAAGGAGTTACTACATTTGTAGTCAGATGCAACATCATGTAAACCATAGAAATGATTATATTAAAATTCCACTCTCTTCATATGTTTATTACTGCTTCCCAAACGCCTACGACTTCTCCAGTTATAAAATTCCTCAACTTCATTAATATCTCAACCAAAATGAGTATGTTACTGCAACACTTCAACTGATTAAATATGGGTATGCTTAAGAATTCCTTCATTCAAAAGAACCGTAATTGGTGTATGCTTTCGGAATTAATGCATTATCATAGAAAATAATGAACTCTTGCTTAGCTTAGCTTAGACAAGTTCTGTAAACGAAGGGGGTAAAAAGTTATCATGTTCTGCAGCTTCAATCTCTCTGCTGCTGTTTGTTAAGGGACATCAAGCCAATCGACCACCATGTTCTGCAGCTTCTTTGGCCAGGTCACTAAGTTTTGAATATTAAGAAACAATCAATAAACTATTTGCAGATGAGTCATAAGGTTAAATGAGCTCAGAAGCATATTAAGCAATGCATGCGAGTAAGTTAACATGAAGAGAAACACACCTTGAGGAGAGGCGCAACATAGAACACGAGCAAAAGCACCAAGTGACTGAGGAATTCCTCTCCCTTTTCGGCTACCGGACCTAACTTCCCTATGTCATCATACGATTATTGTAATCAGTAAAAGATTTTCATCACAAGATATCAAGTCATCACACGGATAACTGCATTAGTTAAACAAGACTGGAAATGGAACAAAAGAAACAGAATATTTGACTTCACAGAGTACCACTAGATACGGGGGAGAAAGGCCATCATGTAGGCAAAGGAACAAAAAGAAGGGAAAAAAGGAAATAAAAGAGATACAGTGCATCACTACCAACTTGATAGTGAAAGAATCCATTGAAGAGTCGAAACCATTGACATCATTACTGATTGGTCTGTGATGTCTCTTCAAAAGTTCCCACTCCATTTCACGAAGGCATCCTTAACATTTACAGATTACATATAACAAAACCATCATCCAGAACGTGTATTCAGTAACTTACTAATTGACACAGGAGTCTTCAAGCAAACTTACTGAACAAAGAGATTATAAATACTCAACTAACTGCAATTACTATGCTCCCATGAAAGACATCCAACTTATCAAAGAGGTTTTTAAGCAAGCGCTAGATCAAAAGTAGTCTTGTTCTTCGAGTCAAAGAGAGAATAGTTTTGTTACCAAAAACAAACTTCTAGTCAAAGTGTTAAATCAAAGTAAGAAGTGTGAATTAAGCAACAGAAACATTTTCCCAACACAACAAAGCAATCATTGTGACTATAGTGAACTGAAATCCAAGACTGACCCGGTCGTGGATGTTGTATGAAAGTGTAAACCCAAAGTCCAGAAGCAGGGTAGCATTTGAAAATTTTCCGTATCTTATCAATACCTATACAAATATACAAATTGAAGTCCAGAGTTACAACTTTAAACAACTACTTCTGCAACGTAACCATAGTCACGAACTGCCGCAGAGGATGTTTCCGTGTACCATCCATTCATACTAATAATAGGAAACCCCAAACTTCCAGTAATTTCTAAATATTAATTCCACAGCATATCTCAAGTAATATTGTGCTTTTTACTCTAACATAGACCCCGTGTTCATGTGTTGTGATCCGTTATCTGTTAACATACCCATTCAACCGTAACCTCATACTCATTTACCTATTTACCCATTTACCCTTTTTTACTCATTTACCCTTTTTTTTTACCCATCTACACTTTTTTTTTACCCATTTATAGGTACATTTAACATGCATTTCCGTATTTCAATTTTTTAAGTCCTCGTACCATTCCAATAATTGAAATTATAGTTTACGGACGATATTTTTAGCTATTATTAATGAACGTAATATAATATATTTGGTAAGAATTTATACTAAGTTTTCATGAAACTTTAATGTCCCTCATTCAAACACATAATGTTAAGAGTATTTTTCACTCTTTGCTGATTAATTTTGAGTTTGATGTTCGCATTCTAACAGTAGTTAATAAGGATTTTTTTTTTAATGCAACTCGGGGTAATTTTTTTCTCTTTGTTTGTGTGTAAAGATGTGGAGTTTATACTGTTATTTTTTTTAACAAAATTTATTGATTCGGGCCTAGCCCCAAAACAATATATATTGTTACTGTATAACAAACCTCATCAAGCGGAATTGTGCATGCTCGCAGCTAGCTTGACATATATTAAATAAACGGTTAAATGAGAACCCGTTTATAACGGCTAGTAATATACATAACCACTTATTTAAATTTACTTGTAAACTGTTATACGCATAACCGTTTATTTATTTTTTAAACGGTTACTAACAACTGTAATAATGAATTTTAAATAGACAGGTAATCGCGGTTACTCATATTCGTGAGTATTTTGCTCATCTTTAGGTGTGAATAGTGCTTTTGTGTCATTGTAATGGATCGGGTATGGGCCAAATTGAATAATAGAGTACAAATTTTTGGGTTGTTATGGCCATTTCAAGTGGAAGGACATGGGCTGATTTCAAGTGGAAGGACACGGGCCCTTTTCACCTTTCTATTTTTTGTGTTTTTTTTAGTCTTATTTTATTTTATTTTCTATGAAAATGGTGACAGCTGGCAAGAGTGGTGGTGAGAGTTGATTGTTATGGCCACTGGAAAGGTAAGATGGTTTTAAGCTGGAAAGTGATTTGTTAGGTGAATAATTGAAGAAATGGGTCCCAGTTTTGAGATGCCCAATTAGCGCGTGTTTGTGAGTATTCAACCTGATTTAATCTTATTTGACCAATAAAAATACATGATTTAATCTTTGTTTTAAACGAGAGATTTTTCTGTAACTGGTATACGAGGTGATACACCACGTGTCGCTATTCAAATGGTGTGATATATGTGCTAAAAAGTTAATAACTTTAAAATAAAATTTCTCATCATTCCTATTAAAATACATGGTATACTACTTGTATTCCGGTCACAACGAAAAATTTCTCATTTTATATTGAGCTTCTCCTTCATAATTGACTTTTCCTCATCCCAAATATAGATTTGACGGATGAGGATCTTTTCCCAATCCTTTTGCGAAGATCTTAGTGATCTTCACATTTTAAGTTCTTTTTAGATATTATTTGTGTTTAATTTTAAATAAAAAAATTTAAAATATTTATAATCGCACGATATATAATGAACAGCTAGGATGTGAGGATTTATATGACTCTCACAATTTGGATCTGGGATTTGAGTCCTGGTACTGATATTTCCAGTTAAAAAAAATGATTTGAGTAATTAAACTAGCGTTCCCTAATATTTCTTGCCTGCTACTTTTTATAAAACTATAAAAAAATTCAAGCTATTCTTTATTGTGCAATATATACCTGGCGAAAACATTCACACAAAACTTGTGATGTACCTTTGCAAACAGTAATTTGCGCAATTGAAAATAAAATCATACGAAAATATTGTTTATTAATCTATATTTTATATTAGTATGATAAATACTATTTATAAGTTCGTACGTGATGTTTACATCGAATAAAAAATTTGGAAACAACGACATTTTACCAAACTTGGAAGAAAATGCCACCTAAAACCACCAAAACCTATCATGTCAGTCACCTTTGGTTACAACGTATTAATTTTAGAACCAAAGTAAAGCATCTAATTAAATTAATTGTAAAACACAAAAAACAAAGGTCAATTCTTTATTATTGGAAATTCATAACGAAGCTTGCAGGAAAGGGCCACTGAAAGATGACAACATGGGCGGCAAGTTGCGGAACACGTCAGTGCAAGCGATCCGCACAATGCGATTACGAGTGGGGAGGCAGATTGTCTGCCTCCCGGGTATCCTTCATATCTCTTTCTATTTGTACGGTCACAGTTAAGTCATGTTAATATTTTATATTCTTATTACTTTTTGTCTTATTATCTCTAAAAAATTAATATAAAATGTTGACGTGACTTAATCGTGACCGTACAAAATAGGAGAGGATGGAAAGGGTATTCAAATAAGAAAGCAGACAATTTGCCTCCTTACGAGTGTATACACGTAAGAGATTAGTTTCTTCTTTTCACATTGTAATATTTTAAACGACTTCAATTTACAAATGTAGCACACTTCTTTAGCTAAATGATGTCTGTAAAAAAAGCATCGAGGGAATATGGTTGGATCAATTAGTTTAATTGCAATAAAACAAATACATTGTTATAACTAGACCCGACTTGCATCCATGTACAACTCGAACTTACAAGTTTTGGACCGAATTCGTTGCAGTTCAAGATTACACTGTCTTATCCAAAAAAATTCTGTGTTAAAAGAGTGGACAAAAGAGTGACATTAGATTAAACAGTTGGATATCAAACTTGACACACTGCTTAAACCAACTGACCGAATAACGACGGATGATCTAAGCAAAAATTAACTGAATTTACATATAATTAGACCGCAATTATAGAAAAAAAGCACAACCCTAGGCGGCTGGCAATTTAATGGAACGTAGTGGGGACCCACCACCTTGGATTTGATTAGATTCTCTCCTTCCTCTTTCTCTCGCTCTCTTTCTCTCTCTCTCTCTTTCTCCCCCCTTTCCCTCTCTCCCTCCCTTGCTTTTCTCTCTCAATCTTCAATCACCTCCTTCTCAAACTTTCACACCTTTGATCAAGCCAAAGCTCCTTCAAACTCTCTCCCAGCAGGTAATTCCTCCTCATTTTCCTGCAACTTTCGCACCTTTGATCGGATTTCGTTACTTTCGTCAACGCGTTTGCGATTTGAATTCAGAACTTTGATTTCAGGTATTTTCCTGGAAGCTTCTGGACTGGTTTCAATTTCGCGTATTTTGATTTCTTTTCCGTCGAATTTAGTAGATCTGGTTGAATGGATTCGACCCCATCGGTTTCATTGGCGGCTTTTGGCTTTTGGAAAATGTTTGATTGTTTTTTTTATCAGAGTGAAAGTGCTTATTTATGAAGCCGAAAACTTTCTCTTTTTATATGGATCGTTCGGACTTGTTTCGTTTGAATTGAAACGCTACGGGCAATTCGTTTTTTGGGTTTTAGTTATTACAGCATAAACAGCACGGATAAAGGGTCTCTCTTTCTGCTTATGCTTTTGGGAAAAGTGTTTGTTTTGTGGGATCTATTAGGGTTTTAATTTGGTGTTTAGATTGTAGCTTGGTTACTTAATTATTCTAGAAAATGATCTTAGAGTTGGAAAATTGGTTTGAGTGTAGTTTTCATATTATATCAATATATATTTGTTAGTATTATTTTGCAAGTTATATTGCATAATTGCATCTGTTCACACAATATGTAAAACTTCTTCCTTTTTTTCTCACTTGTCGTTTTTCAATTTGCCGATCAGCCATGATGTGTTCTTTACTTGTCTACAGATAGTCTATTTCGTTGACTTAGAGTTTGCTGTTTTATCTTCGATTTCCTTTACATGTGCTATTGGGTTCTCTTGCTAATGTATATCTTTGATTTTTGTTATGGTTGTGTGCAGGATATTGAAATTGGTAGTGTGATAGCTAGAAGAAGTGGAGAAATTGCACGGTCGTATTAGCTAACTAAATTTGGTTTTTAGAAAAATAGTGTAGCTGCATAATTATCATAGTGGTGGTCTTGAAAGTGACTTCAGAACGAATTCAGGGTCCTGCTAATTGCTATTGACTTTGATTTATAGACGAGAAGGGGTAATATAAGATTGCAAAATCTTGGAATCATGCCGGTATCGGGAAATGAAGAGGTGTTTATTTCCTTTCTGAAAACTGCTAACTGAGATCAGAGTCTCCTTTAAATTTATTGTTTTTTCTGATTATTGATCAATTAAATCTTTTGTTGGCAGACTGGGGTTAAACCCGTCACCCGGAAATCTAGTGATTATAGTGCAGGTGTTCCTATCAAGAAAAGGAGGTTTTTCATGAGGCCTCCTTCACCTCCTCCTGAAGAACCAATTTTGTTTCCGAAAGAAGAACCATCTTCTTTTCCAGCAAAAATTAATTCAGTACACGAGGAATCTCGGGGGTCGACTCCTTCATATGTTAGTATCACCAGTTCTGGACTTTCTGATGCAAACAAGATTCCTGAATCCGATTATGGAAAAGGAAACTCTGGCGTTGCAAATGTTAGTGTGGCTCGAGGAAATGATAATATCTTTAGAGTCAAACTTGAAGAACCTAGCCTGACGATTCACTCGAGTTCTTTGGATGACATGCAGGGGAAGGGGAAGCTTGTCTTGTCTGATAATCCTACACCTGAGTTGACTTTAAGGAAAAGTGAATTGACTTTAGCACCAAATGAAGCTCTTGCATCTAATGTAGGTACGGAGATTTTGCAGAGCCAAAGTAAAGTAGAAGTGAAGTGCAAAGAAGAAATGCCTGCTGTTGCTGAGAGTACTGAATTATCATTAGGTTTAAGAGAACATCTTGCTCCAGCTTTGACAGGACGGGTTATTGGTGATGACAGGAGTTACCGGAATCAGGGTAACTTGGAGCCTATGTCACTGGATTTGTCTTTAAGTAAAGAAAAAACCAGCAGCCAATGCGACAGTAGTGGGAAAGGTTTGAATTCCCTTGGTGCTGATATGAGTGCATGTCGAGCAAACTGGGATTTGAATACACCAATGGATGCATGGACAGATACTGTTAGCGATTCTTCCGTATTCTTTTATGGGAGTAATGCAACTGGTGGGGTGAATTGCACAACTGGGTTGGTTGGAGCTGGTGTTAACAAAGAAAAACTGTCCATTGTTCAGACTCAGAACAGAGGTAATGAGCCCGTCTTATCCACACTTGCTAACCAGTACAAGCCCAATGACTCCCTTCTTTTGCGCCTTAGTTCATCTTGCTCGCAGTTAAACCAGTGCCAAAACCCTTCTAGTTCATCCAGTAAACTGGATTTACATAGGGTGATATCTGCTACAAACGTACCTAGATTGTTTGGGCCAATTAGAAATTTGAACTTGGGTAATCATAAAACTGTGAAATCAGAACCATTTGACGAGGGTGTCAAACTAGATGTTAATGTATCTAAACTGGATGTTAACGTATCTAAACCCAGTAACACAGGATTAGTAGATAGTAGTAGAGCAGTGAAGTGTGGAGTCGTTGAGCAGGGGAATCTTGGAGCTGTTAAGTCTTCAAATACGAGCACCCGACATTCAGTCGATGCTAGACCCATAAAATCTGAACCAACTCATGTGGATCCTCAAGAAACCATCAAGTCAATTGAAGGCACCTCAGTTCAACTGGATAAACATTTGATACAAGGTCTGGATAATCGTTCTTGTGACATGACATTGCCTATGACTTCAGAGGTGTCTTGCCGTGTTGGAAAGCCTTGTTCAACGGAGTTGACTATGAGCAGGGATGTGATAAAGCATTCTGGAAACGTTATTGCATATGCGCCTATGGAAGCTTGTCAAAGCAAAGATCAGGTTGCTGTATCTCAGGGTCCTGATACTAAGGGAAACAATACGAGAACAGAAGATGGTAATGTTGACAGCGAGAGTTGTAAATTGAAGTTTATGAATGATCAGTCACTTGATTCACGGGGAAGTGGTGAGGGTTCTGCCAGTGATGAGGAAAAGATTAATATATCTGGGGATATGCTGGAAGATTCTTATGGTTCTGATTGTGAATCAGATGGTGCTCATGCTTTAGATACAACCATGGATACTGAACAAGATGGTAAACGTGATGATTATGAAGACGGTGAGGTCCGAGAGTCAGTGGAGCTTACTGCGGTAGAGGAACCTATATGTATGGCAAGAGAAGTGGAACATGACGATAATGATGATTTTGATAATAAAAGGACAGAGCTTGTGGGACCTATTAACAATGTTCAGCCTACATCATTCTATTATGAGGCAAAAGACAACAAAGACAATCTTGCTGAAACAAGTAACAATAATTATAAAGAATCTTTCCAGGTAGTTTGTAATGATAAATCTGATACGTGCTCTGATGAAGATATGAGTTTGCATGAAGAACCATTAGCTGTTGAAAATCTAACAATCGGGGCTGGTGTGGAAGGGTCAACAGAACCTGATGATCAAGCAGTGAAGATGGATGCCCAGAAATGTCAGGATGCAGAGTTCTCCGGGCAAGTCATTAGTGGAAATCAAGGAACTGTAGTGGAAAGTGGTCAGGGTAAAGAGCTGCACGTAAATAACACTGACCTGGCACCAATGGGTGACTCAAATTTGCCCAAAACATCCGGTAGTGGTGATAATGCTGCTAAGGATACCAGTTATGGAGGACAACGGAGCAGGATAATAACTTTGCCTCGATCTTCAACTGTTTCTCCGAGTAAATCAATATCTATTTCAGGACAGCCTTTGCCGTCAAGAGTTGGAAGAGAAATATTAACTGATGTAGAAATGGAGGAAGAGAATATACATTCTCGAGGGAGGTGATTATTTTCCCTTGTTTTGTATTTTGACTTTTGTTTGATTTTGAGGGTTAATAGTTGTATTCTAATCTAAATCTTTTCCCTTTTGCCATTTTTTCCAGAGGTGAACCATATGTTAACAGAAACCCGGGATTTTCAAGGGAGCGATACCAAGATCAATCACTGAGATATCCTAGATTAGGTTCTGGACGTGGTAGAGGGAGGATGCATAGTCGTGGCAATTGGGGTTCTGATCGTAACTATGCTTCGGAGCTTTATAATAATCAAACAAACTATCGTGTCCCCAGACATAAATATGCACCTAATGTTTCTGATGCTGACCTTGAATATAACACTTACAATATGCCTCCAGATAGTGCATTTTATGGTACAGGTCGTGGAGGAAGGAAGCTTTCAAATGATGGACCACTTAACTACCGTATACCCTCAAGGAGGCGGTCTCCTGTTGGAGTGCACACCATTTACATGCCTCGCCGAAATCCAAGAAATATTAGCCCAACCAGATTCAACGGTGAAGATGCTCCAAATTTGGTTGGAATGAGGCATAATGAGAAGTTTATGAGGGGTTTCCATGATGATAGTGCAGACCCCATGTTCACTCGTAGCCAACCTTCATATGAGGGAGTGCATGGTCAATTTGGACGAGGCAATCGGAACTTTTCTTTTGCACAGAGGAGAGGGATTCCCAGAGTTAGCTCAAAATCGCCAATAAGGTCCAGGACTCGCTCTCCTGGGCCATGGTCTTCTCCTAGAAGAAGATCCCCAGATGGATTTGGTGGGCCTAGAGAACTGACTCATCGAAGGTCTCCACCAGTTTACAGGATGGAGAGGTTTAGATCCCCTGATGACCCATGTTTTCCCGGAGAGATGGTGGTTAGAAGGAATCCGTCAAATGATTTGAGGAATATGGATCCTGGAAGAGACCACGGCCCTCCAAGGTCTGTTATTCCCAATGGGAGTCCTTCAAGCCGGAGTTTAGTCAGAAACAGGAGATTTGATGTCATGGATCCTCGAGAGAGGCCAAATAATGGCAATTACTTTGGGGGGGCCATGCATTCTAGCCGTTTGCATGAGCTTGGTGGTGATGGAAGTGGTGATGAGAGAAGAAGATTTGCTGAGAGACGTGGACCCGTCCGTTCATTTAGACCTTATAATGGTGTTGGTGGTGAGACATTTCATCTTAACGGAGAGGATGGCCCTAGGCCTTTGAGGTTCTGCCCAGATGATAATACCGAGTTTCAAGAAAGAGGCAATTTGAGGGAAAGGGACTTTGACAGAAGGATTAAGAATCGGCCAGGAAATGCTCCTAGAAGAATGAGAGGGATTGAAGACCAAGAAGCTAATTGCGGACATGGTGAACAGCCTTGGCATGATGGTGTGTTTGATGATACGTCACAAGTGAAGAGAAAAAGATTTTGAATTTGCTTCTGTCATGACCTTGAATTCGGGATTGGTTGTTCATGTCCGGCACACAGAATTAGTCACTTTTCTGGGACATTCTGTTGACTCAAAGCATTAAAAAAAGTGCCATTCTGTTTGCATAGGATGTTCTGTGGGCCTTCTCCAGTTCCAAGCTTTGCTTATGATTCTGTGGTTTCAGGACTGGATGCAAATACAGCCTTGCTTAATTGTCTCCCATGTAAATAGTTTGCATCTGGTACTGGTACTATGGTGGTTACTGGTTAGTTCTTCTCGATGCTCATATTACAGTAATTATGGGTTTTACATGTAGTGCCTAAATTTCATTAGCAATATGTGTACTTGCCATAGGTCTTGGTTGCACATCACATCTCGTAAGGTCATTATCGTGGAGTTAGCCATTTAAATGCTTATGCGAAGATTCTCCCTAGTTTCTGAGTTATGTTTCTGCATTGGTTTTGATGCTTGGTGAGCCAGGGCAGGTATCCTACAAGGAGCTGTCATCACTCTTAACTAGTATTTAGGCCACAAAAGCTCCAATTATAACTGCGTCTCATCACTTTCTTCACGTCCATCTTCCTGTCGCACCTTGTGTGACCTCAGATGAGAAGCCCATCGGTACTGTTTGATCTTCGATTTGAAAATTTTCTTCGTTCCTGGTTATGCGATCTGCAGCAATCGGCAGAGAAGCAGATCATGTACAAGCTTTCAGTATAGAACATCTTATTGGTTGGAGGTTGTAATGAATAATGATATGCAGAAATGTTGGAAACTGATGTGAAGGAGAAGTTTGCTCCGTTACTTGTTATGTATGAATAATGGAACGGGCTTTGTCAGCAAGTTCTGGATCGGCTGCTAAGCTTACTGGTACTGAAGTACACAGGTGAATAATGCTGTGTAGGAGGTTGTTTATATCTGTTGATCTGTTCTTTGTTTTCTTGACTGTTGGGTAGCTGACATGCTATTAGGGAATTTAGAAACATATTTGTCTGAACTTCCTGGAGCTGTCATGCAACGCTTTGTGCGCTTCTTAGTTCTCATGCGCAGTTAAATGCCGACTGGAATCGGCCACAAAACGGGGAATGTTGGGTGTATAATCCGTTATGTTGTGGAGACAGTTATCCCCCTGGAAATTTAGTACATCGAGATTTGTCAAAACTTGAAAAAGTTGGTTGGTTTTTGAGTCGTACTTTGAACTTCTTGGATCTGTTTTTGTAGTAGGTCTGGGCAATGAAGGTGTCGGGAAGTCTTAGAACTAGTCTTTGTGTTTCCTGTGCTACTTTCCTTCCTCATTAGATCAGCAGCAAGGTTGAGAAGTTGGATCCGGTTACCGGCCAAACTTGATCCGGTTGCCGGCCAAACTTGCCGTAAGACCCGGTTGCCGGCAAGACTTGTCGTAAGACTCGGAACTGGCCTCTGCATCTAAATATAACCTAAAAATCTATTAATAAGTGTGAGGTTGCAGATGAGTAAGGGGTAAAGTGAATTTACAATTTCGACCGCGCATTCCACTTGTGGCATGGAATTACTTCTATGAGTGGGGGCATTTATGGAATTTTATTGAGTTGATTTCCAATTTTGTGTTGGTATTTACATTGTTGAATGCCAGAAAATGACAACCTTGTTTGCGTATGGATGGGTTGGTTGTGTTGGACCAAAATTAAACATTTTGAGTGTGACGTGATTAAGAATAATTTTGGATTAATGCAAACTTAATTGATAGTTTTATTGAAATTGTAAAGAACTAGCATTGTTTGACACGACCAATGATTCAAGTGCGATACAAAGTGGGCACTCTCTAACTTGACTTGCTGTGAAGGATGAATTTTTGCTCATTTGGTATGCGTATTGTCAAATTCTCATAATCACTTCTCATAATCACTTTTGGGAAGTACGGAAGCGGTGCGTTTTTGTAAAATCACTTAGAGAGGCACATTAGAGGTGTTTTTGTATAAAATCAAGTCATTTTTCATGTGATTTTATAGAGAAGCACTTCTCATGTGCTTCTTTCATTTCCAAACAGGAATTATATGAAAATCGCCAATATTATTACAAAAATAAAATTAGTTAAATTAAAGGCTACCAAAATTAAAAATCTAAGCAAAAGCACGGAAATGTTCCTTTTATTGGAAAATTCCTTGGGGTTCATTTGGTCTTATAGCCAATGTGAGAGACTCTTTATCAAACTTCAACCATGTCTTCCTTCTTAAGTCTTTTTATTGTTAATCCATTTTTTTTTTGCCCTCCAGAGAAAGAAAAAAACTAGAAAAAAATAGAATTATTATTTTCACCCAGAAAAAATAAAAAATCGTTCATGCATTTCTTTTTTTCACTAAAGAGGAGTGTACGGTCATTTTATAATAGTGCTAAAAACAATTCTCAATATAATACAATCCCCAACTTTTATTGGGAAGTGTTATTGAAACTCTAAAAATCTCATTCTACACTCCTCACAAGTGTATTTTTCTTTCTAAATATAGAAAGTTTGGAGTGTAGAATAAGAATTTTGGAGTGCCAATAACAATTTCTTTTTCACTAACAAAGCCCACTAAACTCCCCCATTCTGATTTTCACATCCCTACCATCCAAGTTTGGACCCGAAAAAAAAAAAAAAAACCAAGTACGATCCAATTCATCATTGATTATGAACACGGGACAAGATAAGTTGAAGAAGAAGACCATATCTATCATAACAATTCATAACTTGGAAAAAAAAAAAACGATCTTTTTGAAATTTATCAGTAACACGCTTGCAATTACACTTGGACTATGTTTGAGTAAAGAATTTCAAATCTTAAGTATTGATGTCAAGATATCAAGGAATGGATAAAAAAATGTAAATACACCATATAAGCATTACAAAGACATGTAGAAGAAATTCGTAAACCTTTCTCACATATCTTTGTTATGCTTATGTGGACCATTTTTAATCCTTTTACTATATTGATGATCCATGTTTTACTTAATAAAACAAAGTTTATAACGGTTATTAATAAGAGCAATCCTATCACTATTGTAAATTTGTAATTAAAAAAATTCGTTGGGTACTATTATTCCCACACGCCTATTGGTGAAAAAATGTTCATGGCAAATGGATACAAGTCGAGTGAAAATATGAAAAATTCTCACTCTCCTCCTCATAAAGCCCTGAGGAAAAACGGAATACTAGCATGATCAATCTTAATCATGCCTGTTCAAGAGAAGTTATAACTTTCCCGGTAGGATAAAATTGTTGAGTTATATCATACATATTCTTTCAATATAGGCTTCTTCGTATGAGCACACCAATTTTACGGTGTACTTTCAATCTTTCACACATGATTACACTCATTGTGAAAAAAACCATGTCATTATAAATCATATTCCAACTGGCACACCCTCTCCCTCCACCACTAGCGACCTAGTAATGAAATCTCCTTTTTCCCTAACACCAACAGGTGAGACCAATAAGATCACTAACCTCTATTTGAAATTTATCAGTAACACGCTTACAACATATAAGCATTACAAAGACATGTAGAAGAAATTCGTAAACCTTTCTCACATATCTTTGTTATGCTTATGTGGACCATTTTTAATCCTTTTACTATATTTATGATCCATGTTTTACTTAATAAAACAAAGTTAATAACGGTTATTAATAAGGGCAATCCTATCCCTATTGTAAATTTGTAATTAAAAAAAATTCTTTGGGTATTATTATTCCCACACGCCTATTAGTGAAAAAATGTTCATGGCAAATGGATATAAGTCGAGTGAAAATATGAAAAATTCTCACTCTGCTCCTCATAAAGCCTTGAGGAAAAACGGAATACTAGCTTGATCGGTCTTAATCATATATGTTCAAGAGAAGTTACAACTTTTCCTGCAGAATAAAACTGTTCAGTTATATCATACATATTCTTTCAATATAGGCTTCTTCGTATCAGCACACCAATTTTACGGTGTACTTTCAATCCTTCACACATGATTACACTCATTGTGAAAAAAAACCATGTCATTATAAATCATATTCCAACAGGCACACCCTCTCCCTCCACCACTAGCGACCTAGTAATGAAATCTCCTTTTTTTCCTAACACCAACAGGCGAGACCAGTAAGATCACTAATCTCTCTTGGTGCCAATAAAAATGTGAGGGAGAATAGGAGAGTCGCAAGAGATCAGGGGAGGAGGCGTCAACAAATTTTTTTCCTATTATATTTTGAATTGAGTAAGACACTTGCAGGTGGTGCTTTAATAAAAGAAAGAAATAATTGTTCGCAGGTGGTGCTTTATCACAATGGTGGAAAATAATAATGTCTGTGTACCAAGATACGGGTTTGATCTCCACTAAGTTATTTTCCCCATGACAACCAACTATTTAACCTACTAACGTTATTGTTTGTAAAAAAAAAAAATGTTGAGCTTAAAAGGACAAACCTGGCATCAAATTTGTAAATAAAATTTGGGATTCAACTTCAATAGTACGTAACATTGAGTCATATAAATTTTCAGTAAGATTAACTATTACGAATTTCATTAGATCCATGTATCTAATATCTAATCGTTACTCAGGTACGAATAGAAAACCCCAATTTATTTATTTTGTCACAATGGTGGAAAACTAGACTTGGCAAACGGTTGTGTTCATTTCGTGGTCGTGTCATATCTGTTATTTTAACATATAAAAATGTTATCTTAATAAATTATTAACATGTGACTCTGTAGCGACTCGACTCGTTAATGAGTCATATGGTTTTGTATCAGGTTAATGACTCATGGAAGAATTGTTATGCTTAATGTCTAGATGACAAACAAGTCATATTCGTATCATTTACGTGTATACTCGTTATCTTAACAAGTTTTTAACGTGTGACTTGATAACAATCTGAATCATGTTAATAAAAAATTTATAATTTTTAAGAAAAACTAATGAAAATAACTTGAAAACTTTGAGTTTTAACCATAAGGAAAAAAATAAAACTTAAAATAAATAGTACCAAGATTGATTTTTTACTGTAAAAATATAATTTTTCGTTAAAATAAACAGGATGGAGCTTTCCTTCCTTATTTTTATTTTTTATGCTGTCTTGGTCAACCGCCAAACACCAAGTCCTCCTCCTAAACCCGCAAACACGACCCAACCTAGACCCCCGGTCGTTGAACCTCAAACCCTCCCTCCCTCCCTCCCTCCTCCTTTCTCTCCGCATATCTATATCGCTGTTCTCGCCAATCTGCCCCTAATAATTTTTATTAATTTTTCGTGCTTTTTATAAATTTCATTCGTGCTATTTGGTATTGATAATTAGGTTTTTTCAATCCAAATTCTTGTTTTTTATTGCTTCTTCTTGCTCGTTCTTGTTGTTGATCTCAATCTGTTTTCTGGGTTTTTCTCCGCCCTCCGATTCCATTTATCAGCTTTCGCGTAAGTCAAACTGCGTTTCGTGGTTGATGCCCTGCGTTTTGTTTGAAGGTACCGATATTAATTGGCAATCAATTAGGGTTTTGGATTCTTGTTATCGAAGATTTTTGGGATTTTTACTGTGGATTGTGTAGTATGTTTGATTATTTTGTTTGTTTGGTTCATTTTTGTTTTGATTTTGTTGTAGCAGGATGCTAAAGATATGATGAATCAAGGAGGTAATGCTGAGACGATAGCTCCACTGGACCCGAATTCGCTTGAGGTGATTACTACTAAGCCCACTTCTCTGTTACGTTTTTTGTATTAAATTCTGATTGACAGCAGGAGATTTCAATTTCAAACAGATTTTGTTGCCATATAGAATGTGATTTAATAAAGCATAGCCTCGCCCGCATTTGGTAGTTTAGCTGTAATAAACTTAGTTTTTTTAGTATAGCTCAAAGGATTATCTGGGTGTTGTTCTCTTAGGCAAATAATTATCTTACCAAATGGCCTGTACTGCTCGTCTATAGTGGATGCTAAGCTTGTTGTCTCTGATTTTCCATTTGTTATATTCCGTTCAGTTTACTTGACACGTCTACCAATTTTATGATAGCCATTTTTTAGTTGACTCTGTATAATTTTTCATATATATATATATATATATTAATACTAATTGATTATTGCTTTTTGAATGGCAATAATGATTAACACAATTTTGCATTTATTTGTGTTTTAGAATCGGTATAATATTAATGCAAACCAAGGACAGACGCCTTCATATCCTCCTCTTTCAACAGCTGGTTCAGAAGCCTCGTCCTGGAACGTTCATAGGACGGACAATAGCTCGACAGATAATGGGGTTCATTCCCATTCAACCTATCAATACGATCAGCAACCACAGCCGCCTGGGAGTAGTACATCGAGTTTGGGAACAGTAAATGCACCACAAGATTACAATAGCTATGCTTCATACCAACATTCTTCAGATACATATGGTTATGGAAGCGCAGGGTACCCAGGTTACTATAACAACTATCAGCAGCAGTCCAACACTTCCTACTCACAGCCTGTAGGAGCATATCAAAATACAGGTGCTCCTTATCAGCCTCTTTCCTCATTTCAGAATACAGGGTCTTATGCTGGGTCTGCAAGTTATTCAAGCACTTACTACAATCCTGCTGATTATCAGACAGCTGGAGGTTACTCAAGTAGCAGCTACAATAATCAGACTACCGCTTGGAGTGACGGAAATTATGCAAATTATACGCCTCATCAATATTCACAGTACACCCCGGATACCACT